AAACTCTGCCGGGCTACAAAGATGAGACGAAGCTGCTGGGAATGCCCAAGTTCGTGGGTCATTTTTGACTAAACTCAACTAAACCCAGCCATCAGGGGGAACTTCTAATTATCTGTTAAACCAAATTCTGCACACCACTGGCCGTCTGACTCAGGACCTAACGTGATTAGACTCATATGCGAATCTGAATCTTGCTCAGACACTTTGACTCACTCCTCTTCTGCGAATCTTAATCTTGGCTCGTAACACTTTGACTCACTCCTCTTCTGCTAATCTGATTCTTGTTTGGACACTTTGACGCCACTTCCCTACTTCTTGCCCACATTTATCAAGCACGCACAAATTCGACAAGTCCTGAAACACATAATGGAAATAGCCAAGACCCACCCTTTCAGTGGACTTCCAGGGGAAAGGAATCCAAGCCCCCTCGGCCTTTCAAACTACCTGGAATTGTTTCCAGTTCAGCTTCAACGACTGACCAGGTTGTATTTTTGGCTAAGCAGGAAAAACAATGAAATCAATGGAGGGAATTATAGTTAGTTAAACATGGCAGAACTTCTGTGTCGTAAACCACAATGAACTTTTTCAGTATCAAAACATAAATACTTGTTGAGCTGATTTATAACTAAATTAACTGTCCTTTGGCACTCGAAAAAAGTTAACAGACGTTTAAGTGTTATGTATAGTGTTGAACAAATGCTATCCCCGTATGGGTTCTGAGGCTACGTTTGGGGGAACCGGGGGGGGGGGGGGGGGGGGGGGGGGGGGGGGGGGGGGGGGGGGGGGGGGGGGGGGGGGGGGGGGGGGGGGGGGGGGGAGGGGCGGGGGGGGGGGGGGGGGGGTGGGGGGGGGGGGGGTTGGGTGTGGGGTGTGGTGGGGTGTGGTGGGGGGGGGGAATAGATAGAGTGGCTATCTTCTGTATACATACATGCTAGTGACCAAAGCAAAAACATCTCTGGAGACACAAACCTTCGCCTGTACATGCTTTCTCAATGACTTAATAATTATGTTTTGGAAAACAGGGATAAGCTGGATCCAAAGACAGTGGATGGTGTCTCTGAGGTGCTCATTTATATGACAGGGAACACATGTGTGCAAGGTAATGAGCAAGCTGATAGGCTTGCAGGTAAGGCTACTCTGAAAGGTGAAAGAGCCATTGACCAGGCTGATATACTGAATACTCTACTAGAAGTAAGACAAGAAGTGATTGTGAATCAGCAACCATGACCAGACTGGAAAGAACAACAGATCAAAGGGTGTGTGGCCAGACAAGAGCAATTTGCAGGAAGCCACCAACACAATACTAGTGTCATCAGCCGCTTAACACTGTGGGATTTATTGGGAAGGGGATCTGAGCTCACATTATGGACTGAATGGTTCGATGTACAATGAGGATAATCTGTTGGCTAACTAACTAACTAACTAACTAACTAACTAACTAACTAACTAACTAACTAACTAACTAACTAACTAACTAACTAACTAACTAACTAACTAACTAACTAACTAACTAACTAACTGTATACTGTGAAGGAATAAATGATAGATATTAGAGTTTCTATGGAATTTCAACTGCTCAAAAACAGCAATTTATCAGAACAGATGGAGTGACTACCTACCTGTAGACTGATAATTGGGTTGAGTCCCAGGTGTTTGGTTGTCTCTACAAGTTTACACAGCTGCCAACCAGTGACATTGCTGACCCCGATGTAGCGGATTTTACCAACACGGACTAGGTCATCCAGTGTTCTCAGGGTTTCCTCAATTGGGGTTCCATCATCAAACACGTGGGTCTGTGGATCAATAAGACAAAGATAGAATACAAGTATGTTGAATTTATCCATAATAAAAATGTTATCATAATGACAAATAATGCAACAGAAATACTAAACATAATACAAATCACAGTAATAAAACAATACATGAAATATCAAATCTATCTTCTTTAACTCTTTCAGTCCCAAACAATGTGTGATGTATGATTAGCAATGTTCTGAATCCCACCCAACATTCAATATGTTATAGCCCCTTTCAAGTTAGTCACAGCATACTAAAATATCTGGCATCCCCAGTAATTAGCATCTTTTAAAGCAACACACTTGTGCTTTTTCCTGATGTTTTTTTAAAAATAAACATATGCATCTCTGATAAGACCTTTTGGTACTCAAGATCTCCCTTATAGATCGCAGTTTGAAGTATAAACACCCTGTGAAATAAAGAGTCACATTTCAGATGCAAATCCAACATGAAAAATTTCCAGAAATGTCGTTTAATTTTATGTGAGAGATGATGATGTACAGTGAGTGAGTGAGTGACTTTCTACCCCACTAGGACATCACACAAGCGATAAACACCCGATGACACAACGTGCCACCATGCGGATGAGGATCACTGTGGAGAGGTCCCAGAAACCGCGTTCAGACATTTGGCGATTTTTATGGCCTGCCTATATTGCGGAGCCTGGCAAAAGCAAGAGTGGGGCTTGAATTGTACAGTTAGAAAGCAACCTGCCTGCCAATGTTGGTGCCAGAATATTTAATCTTATAAAATTCAAAATCTATGTTGCTGTCTGTCATGGGGTCATCTCCCAAATGGTTACCGGCCAAGAAGTGATATTTGCAGACCATATTATGACTGCAGTGTCTGGGTTTATTGTGCAATTTGCAGCAAGGTTTCTAAGCATTTCTAATAACTGACGCTGCAATCACTAAAAAATAATAATTTACTAAAATTATTTCCCTTAGAACCTACAAACGTTTTTCACATCCCTTGAAGAAATAGGGATGCTCTGGTGGTAGCTTCATTGGTTACATTTGTGGGGCGGTGAAATGGCACAGGAGGGAGGCAGTGACAGCCACACTTGCAGCTAGGTGACATAACTAAACACGTGTCAGTGGTGGAGACAAAGATGATGTAAAGGATGGGAGAATAAAATATTCTGTCACTATCCTGGATGAAACTGAGAAATAAAATCTAGTAATTTATAAATCAGTCTAATAATTAACCGTAAATTCTATCCATAATTAATATAAACAGCAACACTATTCACCATAATAAGCCATAAATGCTGCACATAATGAAACATTTACGCACAAGCTGCGCTATTCTTAGCAACAAATTATTGCAACATTAATGTACATAATGATAATTAATGCAACTGTAAAAAATTACATAGTGTCTAATTAATAGAACTGTAATAACATACATAATGAAGCATCAATGCAAGTGGAAAACTCTTATAATAACAAGTTACTGCATTTGTAATGTTATCAATAATGATGTATTAAAACGGCAGAGATTTACAAACATCTTTTAATATTTTCACAACAGTGATGCTATACGTGGTTCATAAACAGCATCCTGTCATGAAAGTTGAGGTATTCTGGCCATGTTAAACAACATGGTGGCCTGAAGAGAACATGATTGAAAGTGAAGAGTCTGGAAAACAAGGCAGATGCAGACCTCAGCGAAAGTGGCTACAGGACACTGAAGATGCACTGGCTATAAGTTTGAAATGTGAACAAAGGATCAACATCATGGCACACGTGTAGTAACCCATAAGTGCTCCGTTCTATTCTAACTCAAGTTTGAGTCAGAAAAAAGCTCAGCACAGTACACAGGCTCTGTTTCACTGGTGAGGATCCTGAAATACTTTGGGTACATTTTAAACTCCAAATTATGCCTGGGCAGCGCCGTTAGGCTACTCTTTTCGATTTCCAACTGCCAAGGGATTTTTTAAACATGCGCAACAATGCACATGGGCGTCTGATCTCACTACCCAGAGACCAGGTGGAATTATCAGAGTCCAAGTCAATGTGAAAAAATCCCAGCCTCTACCAGGGATTGAACACAGAACCTCCAGCACTCGAGGCAGCCTTCCTCTGGCTATAAAAAACCCTAACAGAAGGCTGGATAATTGGCCAGAGAGAGAGAGATGGACTTTCAAGGATGCTGTGACGAAAGTGACATTCTGTGAAAAACATGATAATTGATGTTGAATGCCATACATAATAACACATTAATTCAACAACACAATCTTAATCTTATTATTATCCTGGTCAATGAAAGAGATGATCCTGCACACCTGGTAGAGATCCACAAAGTCTGTGTGTAGTCTCTTGAGGCTTCTATCGATACTCTCTGTAATGTGACGTCGACTCAGCCCCACATTGTTGATGTTCTCTTCAGTGCCCATATTGACTCGACATTTGGTGGCAATCACATACTTGTCTCTAGGTTGCCTGTAAATTAACAAAGATTCACTGAAGCATCTAGTAAAATTACTAAAGTAGGGAACAAATTCCCTGAAGTAGACACTAAAATACTATAAAATAGGCCCTAAGCTATACTGAAAAGGCACTTAAGATTACTCAAGTAATAAAAAATGTTCCTTAGAATATGCACTAAGATCAGAAGTAGACACTAAGATTACTAAAGTAGACACAATTACTCAAATATGCAGTAGCATTCACTGAAGTAAGCACTAAGATTACTAAAGTAGGCACAATTACTCAAATATGCAGTAGCATTCACTGAAGTAGGCACTAAGATTACTAAAGTAGGCACAATTACTCAAATATGCAGTAGCATTCACTGAAGTAGGCACTAAGATTACTAAAGTATGCACAATTACTCAAATATGCAGTAGCATTCACTGAAGTAGGCACTAAGATTACTAAAGTAGGCACAATTACTCAAATATGCAGTAGCATTCACTGAAGTAGGCACTAAGATTACTAAAGTAGGCACAATTACTCAAATATGCAGTAGCATTCACTGAAGTAGGCACTAAGATTTCTAAATTATATACTAATATTAACAAAGCCGGTACAAAGATTCTGTGAGACAATGACATCTATTAAAGTAAATACTAAGATACACTTCAGTAAACACCAAGATTACTAAAGAAGGCACAGAGATTCACTGTAGTAGGCGCACAAATTTCTTGAAGCAGACTCAAGGTTGGCTGAAGTAATAACAATTACTGAAGCAGAGACTCACGTTTCCAGCCACTTGCCAATGATAGTTTCAGAGTTGCCACGTCCATAGACATCCGCCGTGTCCAGGAAGTTGCCACCCCACTCCACGTAACGGTTGATGATCTGATGTGAGAGGTCTTCATCACTTTGTCCTGGTCGACCCATCTACATAAATGATAGCAATCTTAAAAAACAATATTAATCTTATGTAATTCTTGTAAGAAATTGGTAAACAACTACAATTTTCCTTTCTTGGATTGGAAAATAGATTAAACGAATTGTGTTATACTAAAGCATAATCTGTATGGGAACATTATTGTAGAACTCTACCCATTCATTCCTTGTCCTCTTGCGCTATTATATGTCACATAGGGCTCACAGGCTATACCTCCATTCCGTTCTATCCTGGATGGAATCCACTTATGCAGATTTGGCTTCTCTCATCAACATTCATTTTAGGGTTTCTTTGAGACATCCTTGTTCCTCAAACCCTTTATTTCACATTTCAGTGCCTGTTTGGACACTTTTTGCTTGTTTTTTTCTCAGGTTGTGTCCAGGACAGGGCCATCTTGTTTGTCTTATAACTGTCGATACTAGTGTTTGCCCAAACATTTCTCTTATTTCTTCAACCCAATTGAATTCATCCCATTTTGTGTTTAACATTTTCCTAGGCATTTGTTTACAAATGCCTCTAACATTTGTTCCATATCTTTAGTGGTTCTCTTACTTGGACTGGCACATGTTGAAACTGAAGAACATTAGAACTGAAAATATATAACCTGGTTTTTAAAACAAGTTAGACAATTTAGAGCTCTACCCAGCAAGGGTGTGTAGAAGTGGTACTGCAGCTTCACAATTTTTGAAGAGTCTTGGTGGAACTCTGGCGCCCAGTGGACAAAACTGCCAACACAGAGTCATCTAGAAACCTAGGGGACTGAACTGCCTACACAGTTTCATCTTATTCTCAAGTTCTGGCTTCTGGCTTTCACTGGGATATTTATTTTCCCCTTCCTACATGTCCCGGCCAGTCTAATAGCTTGACATCGACCTGGCTGCTTTGAGATACGGAGATAAGTGATATTGTGTATTTGTGTAGTATTGTCTAATTTGTGTATGTGCTGATGAAGGCTACATAGTTTCATCTTATTCTCGACTTCTGGCCCCTGGCTTTCCCTGGGATATTTATTTTCCCCTTCCTACATGTCCCGGCCAGTCTAATAGCTTGACATCGACCTGGCTGCTTTGAGATACGGAGATAAGTGAAATTGTGTATTTGTGTAGTATTGTCTAATTTGTGTATGTGCTGATGAATTCTACATAGCCGCGACATTACCCCCGTGTGGGTTCCGGGGCCCCATTGTAGGGGAAAACAAGAATAGACCCACTGCCTACCCAAAAGCATGTCGTAAGAGTCGACTAATTGGGGAGCTTCCTTTGAAGTCGGAGTGCACACAATCTGCCGGAGAGGATAAGGAACCAACAGTCTGTATTCAAGAGAATGAGATTTGTAAAACTGATGCACACGCAACACTCAGGTTCTGGAGCAGGACTGCAGTTCAGTAGTGGACGAACAACCAGAACTTTCCGCCAGAGTGTACAGCTGGTGAACGTGAAGAAGAAGAAGAAGCCGCGACATTCATGTTTGTTACACTGTGAATTTCACTGATATACTTTTCGTTCAGGTTTTTATCTTTCCTTGGTGGTACCAAGATGCTGACCAGATCAAGGATTCAGTCAGAGAGAAAATAGACCACATCACAGAGATGTTCAGCATCTTAACCAAATGGGTAAAAATTTGTCTAGGAGATTTGACACCCAACAGTTTTATCTAATATTTTTTAGTTAAGGCTCTTGCAGTTTACAGCTTTTTCTGACTAGAATTTATTACCGGTAGTCACACGTCTGTCAGCTATTCAACTAACCAGACATGTGCTTTTCTCTAGGAGACGCTTCAGTTAAGTGATTTTTGTGTATTCTTTTTTTTTGTATTTGTTGGCGTTGTATATTCATTTAAAATACTGATGAGGGTTTTCTAACCACAACATTTATTTTTAGTTTGTGTGTCTGTAATAATGTAAAACTGGCTGGTTCTACTAACCTTTTCATGATATTATTCAGTTTGAGATCTGAGTTTGGTTTTGTGATCTCAATCGCCTGGCCTAGTATAAATTCTATACAATCTGCCTGATTGGCTTCATCAACTCATTCAGTACCTAGAAACTCACCAGGAGTGTTCTAGCTACTTCTTACATAATGCCTTTGTTAACATGTTGTTCAAAAACTGTCACAATATTACGCTTTCCCAAACTGTGGTTTAGAGGTCAAGTGGTTTCCAGTGCAAAATATATTTCTATCCCCCCCCCCCCCCCCCCCACACACAATTTTTATGTCAACATATTTTAGCCACCACCACATCCCCTCCTCCTTTCCACTAGAGAAGATACCTGGTGTAGTGCACACACACCAAACGCCCCTTCCTATGCCACTGATTTCCAAATATTTTTTTGTTTTTTTTCAATTCTTCTGGATCTAAAGATGAATTACTGAATCTAATTAATACCTAGGAATAAATGAGTCAAAGTGATACCTGTCCAGAACTGAAAGAATTATTATTTTATCAGAATAGAATTTTTTCAAAAGCATACAATGATTGACGGCTCACCTGGTTCTCTCCGAAGGTCATAGTTCCCAAAGAGATGTTGGACACTTTCAGACCAGACCGGCCCAGGAACACGTAGGGCGTTTTGCTTTTTTCAGATATGTTGGTGGCCATTTCAAGTCAGGAATTATTTAACCGTGGAAAGAGGCTGATACTGTAGACAAAAAAGAGAATGATTTGTCCTAATGCTGTACATAACTGTAGTGTGTCATTCTTTCTACTTCTTTCTACGATTGCCAATCAAAAAATGTCTGTGTGTTTATTATATATAATATTTATATGGCCCCAAGGGTCTCTCAACTGTTTATTTTTGTGTAAAATTAACTCTTGAGTAAATTATTTTTTTTTAAAGAAAAAAGCATTCCATCTAAAACTCATTGTTGGGGGATTTGTTTTGTTTAGTTTTGACATGGCCTTTGACATACCCTGCTTCAAATCGATGTATAACAGCCTACAAAGTGTTAAAAACTACAATCAGAACATTCAAATAAATAGTGAACTGTTCTTCTTCTTCTTCTTTGTTCACCAGCTGTAAGTTCTGGCAGAAAGTCCTGGTTGTTCATCCCTTTGGACTGGCTTTCTGCCAGGACCTGAATTTTGTGTGTACATCCGGTTTACTGGCTTGTGTGGGGTTTGTTGCTCCTTGCTGCTCGGGCAGATGCACTGACTTTGAAGAAAGCTCCCACATTAGCTGGCTCCTATGACTATGCTTGCTGGGGAGGCAGTGGGTCTATTCTTGTTTTCTCCACAATGGGGCTTTAGAACTCACATGGGGAAACTGGTGAACTAAAATAACAAACTAAAAAAAACCCTGAAATAAGACATTGCTGCGACTGCAACTCAGAGTGGGTTTATTTCAAAGAGTAACAGAAAACCTCTTTTGTATGTCAGAATATAATAACATTAAACTCTATTTACTAAACCACCAGAAACATGAACTCCAAAGGACTCCCTTTAAGTCATTCAGTACCAGTAAGTTTCAAAGGAGACATCAAAGTGATGAAATAGTCATGAAGCAATATCTTGTATGCTTTCCTTTCAAAGTGGTAATTATTATAGGAGAAGCGGCTGGCCGAATGATTAGAGCACTCAAGCAGGAGACCTGGGTTTGAATCCTTGATAAGGCTGGGATTTTTTTTCTCTCGGGGGCAAAATAAAATCCTCACCTGCAGCACTAGCCCTACCGCAAAAGTGGTAAAATAAAGGCAGTAATAGGCAGTTACTATTAGTGGAAACCAGATTTTTCTAGTATTGCTTGACTAAATGTTATAAGTGAGAGAGCATATTGTGCTATGGAGGGGAATCAAGGGCTAAATCACTAAATGCATTACTTTAAATATTCCTAAAGACAAATTACCAAATATGATGATCTTATTTAAAAATGTACATATACTTTAAAATGTTTACTCCTGCAGTCTGTTACATGGCCTATGCAGGATCAAAAAATCTATAACTGAGATATATCAATATCTAATATTATTAGTAATAGAGAAAAAAAAAACCCATCAAACTCTTTAAAGTAAAACGTTGTTTAATAATACAATACTATAATATACAAAAGGATTTATTATGTAAAGAAATGTCGATTATTACCCGTTCGTACTGAAAAAGATAGTATAAAACTTCTGCTATCTTTGCAGACCATACAATCAAACACAGATCCAAGCTGTTCAAGTTCGACCGACTGTGAAGATACAATTCAATGTGAAGTGGGACAGTCCAGCCAATGCTGGGTTCCCCCCCCCCCCCTTGATCTGGGTTTTTCTTTGGGGCCTCAGGGAAATCAGTTTGTTTTTTTTTTAATTTATCCTTATATAAAAGTGGTAAATGTTTCGTTTCGTAACTATAAATTTTGTACATTTAACAATCTGGGTTTTTTTTATTGTTTTTTTTTTGTTTGTTTGTTCATTGCCTAATTATTGCTTGGGTTTTTGTTTAGCGAAGCTGGGTTTTTCAAACAAATCCTATTGGCAGCCCTGCAACACACACAACACAGTCACAGGTGTGGGTTTTTTCAACAACCTACCTGCTTGGCGAAGTCCCGTTGTGAATGCAGGAAACGTTTGTACTTTGGTATCACGTAAACTTATCAACAGGTTGAATTATAGTAATACACTGTAAGTGATACACCTGTTATATGGAGTTGATAAAATGATAATAAAACCAGATTTGTGCGATCTTACGCTGATAAAGTATTAGCCGTACAAAGGCCACACAAAAATACAAAAATGGGCGTTGTAACTACACACCGTGATAACAACTGGGGGAGATTAAACACTGACTGAAACTACGATCAAATATGGACTAAATAACGAAACGAGAAAGTGTAGTAACAAGTGTAACAAATTCATATTTATTGATAGGTATGAATTAGTATGAATTCCTATCAATAAGTATGCATTTGTTATACTTGTTGCTAAATTCATACTAATTATTATACTTCATACAAATTCATACCTAATGATAGGGAGAACAACCTGGCATTTAGTAAGTGTTTACGCTGGTG